CTGTCAGTTCTTAGAAATGACCGATAACTGGTCAGGAGAAAAGACTCCCATCAGCCTCCAGCAGCTTCAAGTTCCTTAGCTCCCAAAGCTATCTTAAAGGTAAAGTCACCCCATGACATTCCCATAGACATCAAAAAGTTAAATGGACTATTATTGCAGGTATCCAAACTGATATTATACTGAACAGGGTGCTGGCAACTCTGAGCAAACAAGGAAGAAAAGGGAGGTAATGGGAAAGGGGATGAAAACTATTCAGTTTGTAGTGTTGAAATAGAAAAGCAATGTGAGAACAAAGCTGTAAAATGGAATTTAACAACATGTGGCTTGAAGAATGTAGATTGGTTTCAGAAACGGTGATACATCATTGACAACAGAATAAGTGTCAGAATAGAAGGATAGATGTAAAATAACACTGTCAATCTGGTATGTAGGGCCTGGGCTGTTCTAAAGAAAGATGTTCAATAGAGAACACTATGGAAGAATAAAATAAACTATACTGAAATACTTGCAGATATATTTCAGAAAATTTTGGAGGTAACTAAATGCATGTAGCTCCATCAGTTTTTCTTTCCAATGAAATGTCAGGAAACTGAAATATATTTATATGGGGTAGCTGGGAAGAGGAATGCTGTGGCCCTCCTGCTTTTTATTGCTTTCAGTTCCAGGCTTCTGGCAGTCTACTGTTAACCAGCCCCTTTCAAGTATGTCTTCTTCATAGATTCCATAAACTCACAGATTTTCATAAAATGGCCTAACCCTGTCAAAATTTTTTTTTGCTTAACTAACAGATAGTATACTGATGGGAAAAAGCCTGCCAGAAACCAAACCACAAGATAAAACTTACTTATTACTTATATTTTAGCTTAGATCACACTTTTCAAAAAATTAAGAATTTACCCATTTTTAGACTCCATAATTCTTTTGACTGTGCTTATCTGGATCTCCAAATGCCTTTGTATTGGACATCAAAGGCTGTCTACAAAAGTGTTCTGGGATGACTTTATGATGCTTGTATCCCCAGTTGTCTGTTTTGTTTATATGTTGGATGTTAAGTTCTGCACCTTTCAGACTGGCTCTGAGAGTGAAAGGGGGAAAAGGAGAAGCCACAGTTTGTATTCACAAAGAGCCCTCACTGCCCCACATTCTGCTCCTGGACTGTGTTGTCTGCAGCACAGACTGACAGCAGGACAGAGTTCTCCTTTGCTTTTAGTTAGTTTTTAACTAGTTGAGCCAGAGAATTCCCTGGACTGTGTTTTTTCCCTTGTTTCTTGGAACTGTTCAAACCTGCTATGGACCAAAACCCAGACAAACCCTGGAAGCTCATGCCTGTGGCCCACTGGCGTCTGGGCCTCAGCATTTTACAGCACCAAAGGGAGTGATACGAGTCTATGACAGCCAAGCTACACTCCACGACAAGAACTTTCTAAATTTAACATCTCATCAAACAGTGAGAGGTTTAATATTGTTAATTTATTTTATGCTTGTAGATACTTTGCTTGTTGAATAAACAGTTTTTTCCACTTTTTCTCCAAGGAAATAATTTCCTGAACCAGTTGGGAGAGAGGCTGCTTGAATTTCCTTTCTTGAGGGACCCCATTCAGAGGTTTCTTCATAAATTTGCCCTAAACCAAGACAAAAAGCCTATCAAACATAACCTCTTCCTCTTGTTTTGGGAATTCCATTTCATGAAACTAAATTTGTTTTCTAATGTGCAAAACCCTTATGTATTCATTTCAATATGACAAGATAAAACAAAGATAAGGTGTAGAGTTTGTTAGCACTAGAACCATGCATATTTACTTTTCATATTGCAAATTTATGCAATAGTAGGGTACTGTAGCCTCTACTTCTGTATTGGAGCTGAATCAATGGGTGGCATTTCACACCTTTAAGGCACAGTTTATTAACACAGTGGAAGTAACTAGTTTAAAAGGTCTCAGAGCCACTCTAATGAAACGAAAAATTCTGTGTACTGCCTTAATTAAAGGCAAATAGCACTGCAGTGCTTCAGTTATATTCTAGGGGTTGGTTGTAATCTGTTGGTTTAGGTTTCCATGGATTTTGTTGAAACCCATGGAAAGTTTTTTAATGCTATTTTTTTAAACGTCTCAAAACCAACCAAAAACTTCCTACTGTGCCCTGAGTACAGAAGAGAGTGAATCTCCACTTCCCAAGGGAGGAGTAAAAGGCAAAGCCGAGTCATGTATTGTACTTTATCATAGTGATGCAGAGAAGCAATGAGAACTTTTTTTGTCTCTTTGTGTATGCTGCTCTTCCTCATAATGTGAAGCTTGGGAAAAAACAAAATTAAACAAATAAAAGAAAGGAAAGGGTAATGTGTAAAATGGCAACTGTCATGTTTTAATTCAGCGAAGATGACAACTCTATGCAATATTCTTCTTGTGTAGATGATTTCTGTTTATGTTCTGGTTTACGGCAAATTTGGGAGGAAATCTGTGAATACGGTCTTTCTATAAAACAAATTCAAGCGGACCCTCCCCCAGCTGATTTGGAAAAAATGTTTCCTTGGAGAAAAGTAGAAAATACTGTTTATTTAACAGAAATTGAATAATATTGAACAATAAAATTTCTTGCTTATCGATGAGATGGCAAATCTAGAAAAGTCCTTTTCATGTGATGTGGCTTGGCCTGCTCAGTCTCTTATCAGTCCCTCCAGCGCTGGAAAGTGCCGAGGCCCAGGCCCCGGTGGGCCACAGGCGTGAGCTCCCAGAGTTTGTCTGGGTTTTCAGTCCAGAGCAGGTTTGAACAGATTCAAGAAAAAAGGGAAAAAAAAAACCACAGTCCGGGGAACTCCTCTGCCTCAGCTAGCTAAAAACTAACTAAAAGCAAAGGAGAGCTCTGTCCTGCTCTCTGTCCATGCTGCAGACATCACAGTCCAGGAGCAGCATGTGGGGCAGTGAGTGCTCTTTCTGAATACAAACTGCGGCTTCTTCTTCTCCCCTTTCACTCTAAGAGCCTGAAAGGTGCAGAAAGTTTCAGCCTAAGTCTGAAAGGTGCAGAACTTAATATGCAACATAAATAGAACAGATGATTGGGTATAGAAGCATCATAAAGTCACCCCAGGACAGTTTATGATAATGCCCTTGCTAACAACAACTTAGGAGGAATTTTTTGTTATTTATTTTGTTTTACTTTAAAGTGTTCTTCGAAGTCCAGTCTATGATGGATGATCTGGGAAAATGCCTGTACTATAGTTTTTTAATAATATCAGTTTAAATTACATTATAATATTATAGTAATATTGATGTTTATGCAGATTTAATTTCCTTGTTTTATTATTTTTGAAAGTGATGTAGCACAACAAATCAGAACTCCAGTAGCACTACAGAAGGCTTTTTTCCTTCTATGTCAGAATTAAAATAATAATCTAGTTCAGTGGAAAAAAAAACCCAAAACAAACCTGTTATGGTAAGGACTGTATTCTGCTAAGAATCCAAGGCTGATTTTCTTGAACAGAGTTTGTGTAATCTCTCTTAACAGAGATGGAAATTATTGTAATCTGTATTAATGGAAGACCTTATTCCTAAAGCAGGTAATTTATGTGCACTTTTTGATTCCTTTTCTTCTTATATTAAATTTAGAGGCAAATTAGCCTGAAATATAGTTTTAAAAATTGTTTAATAGAACTCCCTACACTAATGCCAGAGAAATAAAAGTACAGAGCAGATTCTTATCTTTAAGCAATTTAAGTAATGATGGGATTGTAGAAAATTAAGGGTTGGAAGGAATCCTAAAGATCACCAGTCCTCACCCCCCTGCCACTTCCTGCTAGACTATGTTGCTTAAGACCTCATCCATCCTGGCTTTGAAAACTGCCAGGGTTAGGCCACCCACAACCTCCCTGGACAACCTTTTTCAGGGTCTCCCCACCGACACAATAAAGGATTTTTTTCCTAATATCCAACCTACATTTCCCCTCTGTCAATTTGCATCCATTACTCCTTGTCCATTCACTACATTTCCTCATCAAGGGTCCCTCTCTGGCTTCCCAGATACTGGAAGTGAGTTATGAGGTCTCCATATCACCTTCCTTCTCCAGGCTGAACAGCCCCAACTCTTTCAGCCAGTCCCCTTATCAACTGGTACTCCAGTCTCCTTATCAACTTAATGGCCTCCTCTGGACTTGCTCCAATGGTTCCATGTTCTTATGCTGGGGACAGGAGAACTGTAGGCAGTACTCCAGATGGAATCTCAGCCACTTTTTTATCCATTGAATCATCCATCCATTAAATCCATGTCTCTCCAATTTAGAGACACTAACATTCAGCTTTGGATTCTATTTTATTAAAATCACTGTTTTATGACTTTTGCTCTTTATTTGAATAAATGCTATTTTCATACTTAGAAAAAAAATCATTTGGCATTGACTTTGCACAGGTTGAAAACTCAACAATTATATTGTGAAATACTTAGGAAAATGGAACAAAAGAATAAGGGGGTGGGTAAGAGGTGAAACACATAGCAGGAGTGGGGGATGGCAGAGAGTGAGACTGGTGTTTGGATAGTTTCAACAAACTTGATTATAATACATTTCTCAATGATAAAAGATTGTTTTGTTGAGGTGACTTGCTTTAGAGTATTTGAAATTATTTTTGCCACCCTCCTTAAAATTAACAATGTTTGTGCACTTTAATGCTAGCAGGTTTCAAGTTTAACTTTTCTCAGTATACATATTATAGGATACAGTGGTCATAGGTTATAAAAATATTTGTAAAAATTCATGGTGAGCCTAAAAGAAACCATTCCTTTCAAAAAGACTTGAGAAATTATAGGCCTCAAAGACACTTAATGTTGTATTGCATTATGTTATGAGAAATTGTTTCTCCCTGTTGTCCCTCCTCTGATCTGTGATGTGTTGGTTCCATCCCCTTCACTCCTCCCCTTTGGTTTTTCCCCATTGGCTGTAACCTGCCTTCCCCCGCCCCCTTTTCCTCTGTTCAAAAGTTCAGGCGTGAACAATTAGTGCCCTTTTCTGCCCTGAAACTCCTTGGATTAAAACTGGGGTACTGTCCCGGAAAGAGAGAGCTTCCTTTGCCTTTTATCTCTGTCCTCGCTGTTTTCCCCCCACCCTGGGTGGACTGCAGCTAGCTGGGATACTTCCTAGGGGCTGGGAGCAGAGGGAAAATAACAATTTAAAGAAGATGGGATGTTGAAGATTGGGCAGGAGTGGAAACATGGTAGGATTGTGAACAGAAGCAGAAAATCAGTGCAGTTAAATACAGATATGGTGATTGTATTCAGTGATTTACTTAAGTGTATCTTTAGGGAGAACACTGTTTTGTCTAATTATCTTTTGTGTGTAGCAGTATTTTGTGCATTTGTAGAAAACTAATACAGCTGAAGATGAATAAGAAAACTGCCTAAAATAATCCTGCTTAATCATTCTAGGCTGGATTTCATATTGGGTCCAAAGCTGAACTCTCAAAAATACTGATGTATGCAACACATCCTATTTTGCTAAGACATTAAACCAGCTCTCCTAAGCACCTGATATTTTAAAAAATGATAACAGGCCTTTCCTTCTTATGGACCAGGTAATTTTAGTCTCTCCTCATAGCTTTTCTGTGCTATTTTTACTCTAGTGAAAATCTCCAACTCCTAAGAAAACCAATACCAACTGGAGGCAGAGTACATTAGAATGAATCCCGTTAAATATAACCTCAGGTTGTGCACTTAAACGGGATGGATTTTCCAGCCCTTCATTAAGGCACACTGTGACTTAGATCAACATAATAAGTAGCAGTGCCTGAGGCTGTGTCTATCCTAATACAACAGTCTCGGTCTAAACTTTTTTCGAGTGCACTCGTTGAATCTGGCAACTAAAGGAGTATATATATCAGTACTCCTTTTTCTTTTTCTTTTTTTTTTTTTTTTTAATGCAAACTAAAGCTAGCTAGGCAATGATTCAAATTAAATCACTGTGTATATGTCTGGGGAAAAATGCATAATTGTTTGCCTGGGCAAATGTGCTTTCTAATGCTGGCAAGAGTTCATTTTGGTGTTCATCATGATGTATTATGAAAATTCTTTGGTCTCTCATTATATAAAACCAGCTTCTATTAAATAGGTGTATATATGCCTACATGCATGTACATGCACATAATCATTCTGAAAATGTTTGAAAAATAATGTAGGATTTGATGTAGAGCTACAGTTTAATTCCTCAGTCCAGTTCAGAGCTTACACTGTCAGATAAATGAAGAATAAATAATTTCAGTATAATGCTCCTGGTAATATAGTTGAGTACAATTAAAGTAAAAAACTGATGGTGTTAAATTATTAAATCAGTATGGTAAAATTGTTGCATTAATTGCCAGCAGAGGTAACATGTGCAGTATGACTATGGACTACAAGAAGCACACGGTCTATCTAAATTAATTTTTATTTTTATATTTCTCATAAAGCAATGTAAAGGGAATTGTCCCTTTGCTTAATTGAGGAAGTGAATAAAAAATTTAAAAGTCCACTATACTGACTTTCTGTAAATGTTAACATTCTTTTTGTCAAATCTATTGCATTTATATCTGTTCACTCAGGGTGAAATTTGCTGGGCTTGTAATATTTGCTTTTGAAGACTTTAAGGAAAAAGCCTTCTAAGCTTTTCAGCAGATGTGTTCTGTTATTGTATAGTCTGTTCAGATGCTTCCATACCTTGAACAATATATTTCAGTAAACAATTACATCTCCTGAAGCTATCTTGCTTTGAAGATCTGTCTTTCCCAGGTCTTAATGGCAACCTTAATCACAAAGAATAGGTATTCAGATTCTTAAAGCCACTTATTTGCCTATCATATAAATAGAAGTATAAATAGTTATTTTGTGGTTTTCATAATTATATCAAGTAAATCAAATTCTAGTACAATAATTGAGAAGTAAAATAAGTAGGCCTTTAAATATGAAGAATTTATTATATTACAGACTTATGTCTATATTTTATTCAGTCTATTATTATTCTTGTTATATTAATTCCATATCCCATTTATCCAAGAGATTTCTGAAGTGGGTGTGTAAACTTATGTAAACATGTGTGTGTTTATATTGTGTGCACATTACATGCCAGAAAACCCATTACAAACATTGTCATTGTTATAAATAAAAAAAAACAATGTTCAGATTATATGTTCTTGTTCCAATCCCAGTTTAGGTCCCTGGTTAAGGAGTTTGGTGTTGTAAGCCCCAAAGGGCTTCATTGTTAGGAATTCCTTACTTGTTTTGTCCTTGCATTTGTACCCATGGGTATACCCCTTATTCCCTTCTAAACCGTCAGGTAATTCAGCTGCTGCTACCCAGGACGAACTTCTGCATTTCCCATGAAGACTTGCACACTGGTGCATATTAAAATCATATTACCACCTGGGAGCAAAGACAGCCCTGGACGACGAGCCACTCTCAAGAAACATGTGGAGGACCACACTGTGGAGGCAGTGGGGACCTGGGGAGACTGGGTGCGCCGATCCCGGTCCAGCAAGCTGGTCACCATGACCTGGGCAGGACTTGAGAGGGAAGACACCCCTGGACTTTTGAGCCTAAGGCAGAGTCTCAGGATGATCCCGGCGAGGATGGAGGCTCCAGTCCTACTGACAGTGAATGACAACAGGTCTGTGTGGTCCTCCTCCTCAATGTCGACCACTGGGAACAGCGGTGGTGGCGCGCCCCCTGAGCTCCCCCCACCTCTAGGCCTAGTTCTCTCTAATAAAGGCTTGTTAAAGGGAGCAGAAGGTCTCCTAGCCCTTCAATTTACATCAACTGGGGGCTTGTCTGGTATCTGCTATGCCCACGAGGACCAGGAGGGACTGGCCATCCACCCTGGACCCTTTGTGGGATTGCTGGAGATGCCTCGACAGCCTTAGAGGGAGTTGACGCCAAGGAGTGCCAGACTGGGTGAGAACCTCCAGTGGCAGGATTGGGAGGCGCACAAGTGAGTATGTGAGACAGGGGCTGGCAGCCCAGGCTCCTGAAGCGAGTGGGACCTCCCAGTATCACGGTTCCAGACTCTTGCGAGGGGGCTTTCCGGGAATGGGGGAAAGCAAATGAGGCCCAAATAGGGTGCAGAAGAATGTGTGGAGTCGTCTTCCAGGGGGGTTTCAAAAGGCAGCGCGTAAGCGACCCCCAATGACTAAAAGATCCCCTCAAAAGTTCTGGGACAGAGGTCAGAGGGAGGGAGAATCCGGAACCCTAGGAACTGAATCCCAGGATAAGACAACAGGGAAGAAACAAAGTCAGGGGCCTGTACAGGACAGAAATGACTTCACAGTTTCCGCTTGGACCTGGCCTTTAGGTCGAGACCCAGGATGTTGGAAGGGGATAACGCTTAACCTGTTGGGACCAAATCCTGGTATCTCGAGTAAAGAGGGATAAGGGTGTGGGGAAGAGATTAGCTCGTTGGGACCCCCACCAGACTCCCTAAGGGAATAAGGGTAGAGGGAATGGGCTAACAAGGGGAGGCCCTGCAAGGACCTTACCAAACTCCCTGCATTTTGTTAGTTTAAGCAGGAAGTTTTTCCCCTTTCATTGGTTAGACATGTCGCCTCTGATGTTGGGTGGAGGTGGTTCACTTATAGGAATCAGAAATAACTCTTGAGTTGGCATTTCCTCCTAAGTTTTCTGTGTTTTTCAGAATATCAGTTAATGGAAAGATTTACGTTTCCTCTGGTGTTGGGCTGAGGCGATTAACCTGACAGTAGTACTTAGATTCGGGAGGGGATTTAGGGCAGAGAGGAGTAAGATTCCTATTTTGCTTTCTAGTATAGGATGACTTGTTTTCGGTTGTAAGCTCCAGTTTGGGAAGGGGTAGTAGGTTTTTTGCAGTTGAGTTCACAGAGATTGAAGTTGGGCGCGTTAGCCATTGTTTTGCCTGTCAGTATTTTTCTGTTTCGGTAAGGGCACGTTAATATATTTTGTGTTGAAACCCACTGATAGAGGAATGGGACAGTGTGCGGGTAGACAGAACTCTCCAAAAAGGAGAAACAAAAAGGTAATTCCACCAAATAGCCCCCTCGGAAAGATGTTAGATAAATGGGAAGACAATGAGCTCACCAAGGGGCTTGATAAAGTCAAGATGATCTATTATTGCATGGAGGAATGGCCAAAATTGGAGCTAGAGTGGCCGTGGTTCGGCTCTCAAGATGCGTGGATGTGTATGCAACTTAAACAACACCTAAGAGATCAGCCCAAACCTGATGAGGAGCAATTAGTATATGCAGATTGCTGGGGGCATGAGAGCATAGGAAACAAAACTGTAAAGATCTGTAAACTCAAGAAAACAAAGGATGAGGGAGCTGATCTAACGAAGGAACCATGAAGTGGCGGTGGGACCCCCTCGACCACTTACCTCCCCCTTCCTACCCTGTACCTCCCCTAGAGCCTCTAGCCCAATGTCAAGAATAGAATCCCTTCCCTTGCAAGTTTCCATACTTTCCACTCCCCCTCCTTCTCAATTTTCTGCCTCCTTACCACTTCCACCCCTTCAACTCTGTAATCCTCTCTCCTCCATCTTCCCAGGTCCCAATCCCCCTATTACCTTCACAATCCCCCACACCCTTTCCATTGTCCCAGATCCCTATTCCCATACCGCCACCACCCCCGCAGAATCCTACTCTTCCGTCATCTTCTGTTGCCCAAGGCCCTGCTCCCTCACTTTCTCCATCTTCCCAGACTCCTGTTTCTCCACCTCCTACTTCAGGACAAGCCCGAAATCCTTCACCACTTTTATCCCAACTCCCGTCTTCTAACCCTATCTCTTATGCCATCCAGGGTCCCCCGAGCTCATTGGCCTCCACCATGTTAGTCCAGAGATCGCACGGGATATCTCCCCAAGCCCCGAATCCCTCAATCTTCTCCGAGCACCCACTTGCTAACATTTTCACCCCCTTACTTACACAAACCCACCAATAGTTATATCCCCCTCACCAGGGAGTGTCCCCAGACCCCCTTTACAATGGAAAGGGATAACCACCTCCGCTAACAGTAATGCCTGTGTTAGTGGCCTGCAGACCCCAGGGCTCAAGCCATCTTCAAGATGAGACTCAGGATGAGGGCCTGTATTGTAATACTAGGTCCAGGACTCTCCGTGCAGACCAATTATTCCCCTTGCGGGAGGTATCAATGGGAGGTGTGTTCGGTAGGATAGGCTATGTGAATGCCCCTTTAACCTCCTTGGAAGTGAGAGGATTTAAGAAGGAAATGGGTAGTTTAATTGAAGATCCATCTGGGGTGGCCCAACAGGTAGATCAGTTCCTGGGGCCCAGTATTTATACTTGGGGAGAGCTGACCTCTATCTTGAAAATTTTATTCAGTCCAGAGGAAGTCAAGCTAATTAGAACTGCAGGTATGAAGATCTGGGACAGGGAAAATCAGGCACGGCCCCCAGCTGATCGGAAGCTACCAATAGATGATCCGTGCTGGAACCCTAATCAGGCCCAGGACAGAAGGAGCATGGAGGAGTATCGGACCCTGATGATCCAGGGAATCAAGGAATCAGTACCAAAAGGGAGTAATACTAAGTTGGCCTTTGACTCAATGCAGGAAAAAGACGAGACACCTGCTGCTTGGTTGAACAGGTTAAAGAAAACCTTCCAACAATATTCTAACATAGATCCAGAAAGCCAGAAAGGCAGGTTTTGTTGAAAGTACAGTTTGTATCAAAGGCGTGGCCTGATATTAGAAGGAAATTGGAAAAAAATGAAGACGGGCAGGAAAAAGGGATTAATGACCTGTTAAAAGAGGTGTTATGGGTATACCTACGGAGAGACGAGGAAAAGGCAAAGAATAAGGCTAGGATGATGATTGCTGTAGCATGGGAAGGATTAGGAACAAATGGAGGGGTGGTAGAAAGGAAAGATAGCCCAAAACCCTTGGTAAAAAGGCCACAGGAAAAACCCATTATACTGCCATGGCGAACTAAACCAAGGCTTTATGAGGATAGAAGGTGCTATTACTGCGGGGAGGTGGGACACCTCAGAAAGGATTGTGGGAAGGCCAGCTTCGATAATGCAATAGCCAAGGAACAGGAAACCTTGGAAAGATTGCTGAAAGGTGAGGACTAGGGATGTCAGGGGCTCTATACTCTGGGGGACCCAATGTATCACCTCACAGAGCCCCTGGTAATTTTTGAAGTGGGCCCCCATTACCAAGATTTTGAGTTCCTAGTGGATACTGGTGCAGACCGATTGAGTATTAATGAAATCCCATCTGGAGTGACAATAGGGTCAAAAACTTGTGAGGTTGTTGGAGCAGAAGGAAGGCCCTTCACAATCCACGTGCTAGAAGGAGTGGATATCCGAGGAAACGCTCAGTGTTGTTGGGTGGACTTGGTTTACCTCCCAGACTTGGAGAGTAATTTACTAGGGAGGGATTTACAAATCCAACTGGGAGTTGGCATTATCCCAGAAAAAGGGAGAATGGTGGTAAAGATGCTCAGATTAACTGAGGTTGACCTAGAACAGATCAACCCAGAGGTATGGGCAGAAGAAGGGAAATGTGGACTCATAAACGTGACCCCCATACAGGTAGAAATCCGGGAAGGACCTCCTATAAGGGTAAAACAGTATCCCCTATCATTAAAGAGTAGGAAAGGGTTAGTGCCTATTACTGAGTCCCTATTAAGGTCAGGCATCTTAGAAAATTGTATGTCTTCCCATAATACTCCGATCCTCATGGTCAAGAAGGCTGAAAACAAGTAAAGACTGGTGCAAGATCTGCAGGAAGTAAACAAAAGAACAGTCACCCGACATCCAACTGTGCAAAACCCATACACATTCCTAAGTAAAATCCCAAAAAAACATGCACGGTTCACAACAATCGACTTAAAAGATGCATTTTGGGCTTGTCCTCTAGCAGAGGAGTGTCATAATTGGTTTGCGTTTGAATGGGAACACCCAGAGGGGAACAGAAAATCATAGCTAAGATGGACACGCTTGCCCCAGGGATTCTGTGAATCACTGAATCTCTTTGGATAAGCCTTAGAAAAAATGCTGGAACCATTTACCCCTGAGGATGATGCGCAGATCTTGCAGTATGTGGATGATGTCTTAATATCTGGAAAGGAACAGGGGTCGGTTTGGGCAACCAGCATTAATCTACTAAATCATTTGGCGACAATTGGCTTAAAAGTTTCTAAAAATAAATTACAGTTTGTAGAACCCCAGGTAACTTACCTAGGGCATATAATTGGAAGTGGTTATAAAAAACTAAGTCCAGAAAGGATTTCTGGGACTGTGTCCATTACAGCTCCAAAGACAAAGAGAGATGTCAGGAAAATATTAGGATTATTTGGCTACTGTAAATTATGGCTAAAAAATTACATCCAGAGTGTTAAATTCTTGTATAAGAAGCTGGTATGTCCAGACCCGATAGAATGGACGAAAACGGACGAGATCCAGTTAGAAAATTTAAAGAAACAACTATCTTCAGCACCAATCCTAGGAATGCCAGATTTAGACAAGGAGTTCCACCTATTTGTAGACGTGGAGGAGGGGATTGCATACGGAGTATTAACACCAAAATGGGCGGGTTCAAAGAAGCCCATAGCTTACCTCTCAAAACTTTTAGATCCTGCAGCTCGGGGGTGGCCGACCTCTCTTCAGGTAATCGCTGCCACTGCTCTACTGCTTGAGGAAGCCCAAAAACTAACATTCCAAGGAAGAATCAAAGTATATACTCCACATAACGTGAAAGGCATATTGAGCCAAGGGGC